AAGGCAACCCTGTGATCACTCTGTGCCTTTGATAGAAGAGTTTCTTCCTTGGTGCAAGACTAGTGTAAACTAACTTCTGCATGCAACATGACATTGTAAGCCCAAAAGCGATGTTGCCTTGCCAGACCTGGCTTGGAGACATCTCGCCTTTCTTGCCCTGAGAGGTAGCCGACGTTCAAACAACCTGGGCTTGGCTCCGCCCCTCGCAATCATATACTTACAGATAGTATTAATGTCTATTATATCAGCATCAAGTTTGAGGTACAAATTGATTTAAAGTGCATTGCCAGTTAACCTAATCTATCATATTGTTTCAGAAACTGTTAGTGAAAATGAATGATGTAAAATGAAAAACAGTGAATGTGTAGAGCGGTGTATTAATATAATGATGGTGGGGTATATAGGATGCAAGTGTTACTAAACTTATACTATTACCATATCTTTTTGTGTCAAATTATTAATTGACCTAGACAGACTGGACACTTCCCAGCGAACCCCTTTTCCGTCTCACGCTTGCTCACTCATCCCACGAAGGGCTGAGTCAAGTTTCACTCTTCCCAAGGCTAAGGGGATATTCCCTTAGCCTTGACTATATGCCTTTATTTGTCATTTCAGTGGTTGGTGTCCAACACCTTGTTAATGTTTCCCCTCCAAACTCTTCAAGAAACCCATTGCTTTCTATATTCGTCTTTTACATATTCATTTTGTTGTTTTTGTTAATGAAATAATTGTAAACATTTGGAATTATAATGGCGTATGAACTAATGTCATATGTTCTTTTCCAAATAACATATCAAAAGTTTACCATTATCTAAATAGCGGATCCAGGTGATATAAGACGAAGTGAGAGAGAGAGCCAATCATGCTTAAGATAATGCATGGAGGATATTTCCGTCTGACAAATATTAATATGAATAGTCAGTTCCAATGCTGTTTAAGTTTTTTTTATACAGAAAATATGATAAAAAATTGAAATAAAACGATGTGATAAGATTTCTTTTTTGAAATAATATACAATAATTTCTTTCTTAAGGCAGGTTTCCAATATATCTATCAAATTAAAAGCCAAACAGGAATAAAAGTGATCCCTCTCTCTCTCTCTCTCTCTTTATGTATATTTCAGTCATTATTGCACTTCTTCGCCTGATTTTTGTACTTTCCCACCTCCTCACATTCGAACCATCCTAACTATACCCTAGTTGTTTGAAAGTGGGCCTCCTTTCAGGGTAAAAAGGGCATGATCTCACAAAGCCAGGACTGTCGAGGTGTCACCGCTTTTATAGCTGGCTGTACCCATGGATTCAGGATTGCCCTCCTTCAGAAATCTTGCTTTTGTCTGTAGTTTTGACTCTAAGGTACCTTTTATGATGTTTGATAACATTTGAGAAGTCTTCCTAGGATGCCCTGACCTAGGTTTCTAATCCACCAATGTTTTTAGCCCTCCAATCTTCCAAAATTATGCCATATATTTTTTGAATTTGGACTTGGCCTTGTTCAACACTTAACAGATTTCTTGAGTCCAATGACCTGCAGTCTTTAGTCCAATGATTTGAGTAATTACTTTAGTTAATCACTTTGCAGGTACCATGGTAATAATGCAGCCCTTACGGAAATGAAGAAAACTAGTGTGAAAAAGTCCAGAACAGTGGAAGGGGGTCTATAAGCATCTTCTCCTCACGGCAGCATGAGGGAAATTGGCTAGGTTTTGTCTCACACTCAGCTCTAACAGCCCAGATTGATGGCAGGGGAATACGGGAAACTTTTTATCTCCAGAATTTCATCTCGGAAAAAAAAAACCACCTTTCTAATACCATGAGTATGTTGCTGCATACTTTTGATGAGTACAGTTTATTTATATATATATATATATATATATATATATATATATATATATATATATATATATATATATATATATATATATATACATACACATACACACACACACACACACATATATATATACATACGTACGTACATACATACATACAGACAGACAGACAGACAGACAGTCACACACACACACACACACTCATACAGATGGGTAGAGAGATACGTAATACATATACATACATAGAATCCTTCACCAATATCCTAGATTCATATTCCAAATCAAAATATGAAATTATCCAAATTTCCAACTTTCACTCTCAAGAAATTCATTGTGAAAGGATACACTTTGTACTCTTCTGATGCATAGAGGAGACCCAAGTACAGCTCCCTCGTGTCTCCTGGAGTCTTGTTAACTGCAGACACTTTCTCTTGTATGACGTCTAGTGCAGTGTGGGCTAAGTAGTGGAGGTGCAGTTCTTCCTTTCCGTTGCCTACCCATATGTACAGTGGGCTGTTCTGAAATAACACTTGCTATTAGTTAGCGGATAAAGTATTGCACAAGACTAATAACACAAAGAAGAAGAAGAAGGAAGCATGGAATGAGCAGAAACCTGAGAAATAATTTGAGTTTAATTAAGCGCAACCCTCTGAAAGGCACAAGAAATATGCTGTATACACATATCATTTCTACTCCATGATGTAAATAATATATTTTCATTACAAGGCTTATAAAATGCATATAAAAATACATACATAATTTTCATTACAACCAGTATCATATGAAAAATCAGAATACATTCCTAAATAATATATTAACATACCACTGTGCAATCAATAGGATTATTATTATGAATATCAACATTTTGTTCACCTGTAAGTCAACAAGATATACCATCATTTAAACTCTAAATGTTATAAAAAAAGCTAAAAAAAGAGAGAAAATAACTTATACATACAGTGATTCACAAGGAAATGTTACTACTGGTAAATGTAACTCACTGAAAAAGCACATACTATACATATATTAACTTTACAAAACAAAAGAAATACAATCTAACTCTATTTAAGGGGGTATATGGTGTATAGTTCTTTACATACTTCTTTAAAAACATGAATCCATTATGAAAGGTCTTCAAATGTGCATGTTTCCAATAAGTATGGCACTTCCTACATGTACCTATAATATGGCTATCTTTTCATTATCCTGACTTCCTCCTCTGTTATGTACTTTAATATACAATTTTTAAACTTCTCATGTCTTTGATGCAAGCACATATTAACTACTGTAATATATAGTATACATCACACATAATATAGACTGTTTATCTTATTATAGCCTCTTATATATGTCATAAAGAATATACCTGTCAAAAAATATTTCAGTAAAATGTTACACTGCGCCCAGATATCTTATTTTCATTTGATTGCCAAATAACATTACAAAAACTGACTTTCAACCAAAAATGTAGAGATTAACATTGGCAAACCTCACTCACTCAATCTCAGCAAGAACAGTACGAAATTACGAAGTTCTTTTGGCTACCTCAACACCAATTCAGCCTAAAACCAAATCAGTCTTCCTTCCAATATGATCTGGTGCATTTTTTTTTTATGATTAGGCCTGCTTCCTTTTATTCCACCTTATTCTTGGCGGCCAGACAGAAACAGAGAAGTATTCCCCTAAATCACTGTAGGATTTTTTTCATTAGAGGTGCTCTTATGCACCCTTTGCTGGCAAGTTTTAAACTTTTTATACTGCTTTTATGTATTTTTACTTACCAAAGGGTTAACCTAATAAAGAAGGTAGGAATAAGTAGGAAGCCTACATGCAGTAACACAGCCTTGACAAACAGGCAAGTAAACTGATGATAGGCAAAGAACACAAAAGATACCATGTTTTGAAAGTCTCTGTGGCTGATACATAAAATAATGCCAAATATGACAGGCCTAAATATTAACACATTTTGTTAGGATCTGCTCTATCAAAATTAAGCTTAATATAGACCGTATCAAATAATGTAAATAAAAAATTATTTCTGATACCGTTTCTGTGAATGACAACCAGTCTTTCCCTGTCAAGTGTATGAAATAGTTACCTTGATGAAATCTGAGACAATTTTTTTTATATGGCATTTCCTCGGAAAATTGAAAATAAAGTGATACATAACAGAGGAGATTGACCAAATATTTTGAAGTTGCTCATCATGTACACTGTACAGGACCAACAACTATAAAGACTGCAAAAGCCCAATTCATAAATGTGGCACATACAGTAGTTTGTGCATTATTCCTTGGTTGTGAAAATAAATGATTTGTAATTAGCTATTCCTGCTTTTTATGTTTGTGTCCAATGCATTTTGTTAATATCATTATATACTATTAATATATTCTATTATTCTTTAAATAGCTAATTATACAATTCTTTAATCTAAAATCAAAGTCCATGATGATAGTGGTGCAATGTCAATTGACTGCCAGGGACTCGATGCTTTGTGGTTTAGCAAAGGCCAATAGTTTCTGGCCACATATTCTGGCAAAAACTTATGCTGATTCTTTATTTGATGATAAACAGGTAGGGGCATCTGAAAGTTATACATTCATAGCATATAAATTATTAACAGTGACCTTAAAAAGATTCCTGAACATATGTGTCAGAGCTCTATTGGCTTTTCCCTGAGTGCTGAAGGTATGGAGGCCGTAAATGGACATATGAGTAGCTTGTGAATATTCACAATTGTGCAAATGTTACTAACTGTTGGTTAATAACACAAATTTGTGTGAAAGCGCACTAAATACTTGACTAGTAATATATGTCTGTTGACTGGGTTCCTGTGACAGTTACTACATTTCTTATAACAAATATAATTATATCAATCCTATGGTAATATCACCAATCGAGTATAACTTACCACTTTCATGTAATAACGTATAAATTCATAATAAAGCCACACGACTCGAATAAATTTTGAAAAACAAATGCATAACAAAAACACAGTAATGATGAAGTAAAACCTATAGAACCAGTGGGCCTTCACTTAATATTGAAACAAACTATCATAATTTCAACAATTAAAGCAAATTATACATTAAATAATACACACCTCCTTCCCAATGACAGATACACAGACAGCCATGTTTGTTTACTTCGATTTGGTCGCTTACTCTAC